CCCTTGTGTAGTGATTATAATAGTCGGGCTTATATATCCAGTATGGTGAAGTGGTATCGAGCGTGTGGTAACTTTTTAAGCAACGAACCTTTGAACTGATTTCTTTACCATAACATGTTCTATTGCACAATCAGAAGTCAGAATACGTTAGGAAAAATAAAACTAAGGAATTGCTGCGAGACGTCGGAACACGCCACCGAATCTAGACATCAAGCGGAGGTAAAACCAATTATTTCTCATACAAACGAAGTGATGGGCTCCGTTCTGTTATCAACACCGTGCACGCTATCCGTATCTTATGCATATACGTACATTAGCGCTGAGTCTGTCAGTAGATTCGTTAACGCCGTAAAATTTCGAAGAAGAATCCGCTGACGACTTTGATTGTTGCAGTCAATAGCCTATTCGGATGAATCTGTGAGGGCCCTTCAGTATGTAAAGTCACAAGGGTTAAAGATATAGTTAAGATTTTAAAATTCAATTACGAAAGGAGCTGATAAGCTTGCGCGAAGGGAAACATAACCATTCGAAATCAAACAGAATTATTTCGAAAAAAGCTGTACAGGCAAAATAGGTAAACATTCAAAGCCCATCCGCCACTGCATAGACCATACTTAGTAGGGTCACAGTTACGCATATTTGTAGAATACTGCAATACTAGTTTCATGAATGCCTTTTCTACCCTCGTTAATTGTCGATGTGCTCTAGCTACAAAAAAACAAACAATCGTAGCTCTAAATAAAGTGTGCGTTCAATCAGTGTTCATGGACGCACAAAACGTTATATGCATACGATACAATTCTAATTACGTACTCTGCAGGAGTTACATTAAATAGGCCATGCCACTTCTTTATGGAATGCGTCTTGTCTCGTCGAGTAGGTACGCTTCGTTACAGCTTTGTGAAGTATTACACATTGCATGAATATGAAGCGAATCTCTCCGCGAAACTGGCACGCAGGTCTTCGAGTTTGTTACACCTCCATTACGAGAGACGGTCTTACATATAACTCTGTCTATTCTCCTTTCACAGTTCCTGTCGTATTCGCCATCCCGATAAGGTGATTTCGTTGTAAAAAGGGCCCATATCAAGTTCAACTCGATCTAGGCCGTATCGGCTAGATTAAAACGGCCCCTGGGCTTCTTGCAAGAACGCCGGTTTCTCGATTCGTCTTTTACTTCGTTCTAGCTTGGCCCCTTTTCTGTTCCACTGCTCGTAGAATACAGCTATTGTTGTTAGTGAATCGCCTTTATTCCATTCCAGCTGAGGGTACTCGCGCTCGCTGGACTCACACTTTCTTTCTATGAGCTCCAAACGATGATCCCGTTTCTGTGTTACGGCGGCGACGTTAGTCTGCATGCGGAATCAAAGGGTGACTTAACAAGAGTGAGAACGAATCTGACCACTTGAGAGAAATCTCTTCCATTCACTTTCCAAAAGGCTGAACGTCTTCATCCGGCCCAACTGTTATAGTAGAGAGTGACTACAGCTTGTGTATTACTGATTGCTGACGACAATCCGACTGATCGCCAGAGCAGAGAAAACCTTGCGATTCTGGGCCTTGTGCGTCCATGCCCCGCCCGGCCAGTAGCTAGCCTAAACTTCCATAGTCCCTGCCGGGACTGCACAGCCAATATACTATTAGACGAAGAGTGGTACCTCACACGGCGTCCCTATACGTGACACAGGCGTTTAGATGAAAACGGACAGAAATTGTTCTCGGTAAAATCTTCGGTTTTCGCCACGTGTCTGCCTCCGCCGGTACCCGGAGACGTTTTCAGTCTTCTCCTAGTTCACAAGAACAGAATCAGGAGAATTTTAAATGGAAAAAAGTGGAGAAAAGCGAAAAAAAAACAACACTTTGGTGCTACGAGAAGAAAAGAAGAGAAGCGAATACAGAGCGTTCCGTGTGACTGTAGAACGACACGGTGATGAAATCCCTATTAGTGCAAAGATTTAGCAGTACTCTCTTCGCATAGTAACAGGAGCAGATGGCTGTTAAGGCTTTCTTTTTCAGAAGTATTTTCATTTCAAGTATAATATTTTGCATCGACAGTGTCCCTCATTCCTAATAGTTTGCAATGGCGGGCTCCGGCGAACTGAGATTTCGTTTAGGCTCGTTTCCGCTATTTATACAAACACATATGTCGAGAGAAAGGCCAGATAAGCTAATACAATAAGCGTGGCTCTTGTCCTGGGATTCGCTACCTTAAGGACAGCGTTGTAATTGAAGCTTCCTCGACCCGGTAAGGCAATTGTAGTGACTAGCCGTTGTCTACTACAATATACACCCCATTCACTTTCTTATGCTTCCAGGTACTTATACTCACCCCCGGTTCTATAGATTGATTAGACTCACTTGAGGACTCCCTGGGCACTCATAATAATCCTAGGCGGGGTAACGGTATTGTTAGTGAAAGGCGGATCCACTTGTATTTTGGAAGGCACGATGGCCCATTTTTCGAGTGGCTTATGCTTGTTCATAGATCATCATTTCGAATAGGCAGGCCTTTACGTACGCAAAGAGGAAAGACAAATAGTGGGAGCATACAAATAACGGCGAACCAACGCATTAAAATAGCATTCGATCAATCCCTGTTGGTAGGCATAATGAACTTGTAGAACCAGTAAGTGAAAATTAAATGCCGAATGGAAACTATAGTTAATTACTAGTCTTTTGGTAGTAATTAACTACAGTTTTTTTTACTGTTACCACAATATAACCTATTACTGAGGCTGTTCGTCACATGCAGCACGGAGGAGAGCAGCCATGCTGTAAATCGAAAGCCTAGAATGTCGGAGGAACCTCTATGTGCATGTAACCTCATAAGTAAGCATATGTCTAGCACACTTCTGCTTTGCCTATGCCAATACCTCTCTCTCGGTATTCGGTATATCTAAATCGATGAAATATTCAAAAAGAAAACAGATGCTAAGACGCCACCTTATTTCCGAGTTAATACATTACTTTCTTAGTGATAAACATTACTCGGCAAAAAAGTGTCCGTGTCGTAAAATAAAACTTTTCAAGACCACTTTCTTTAAATGAGAGAACTTATTCGCTAAGACTCAATATAAAATAGCACAATGTATTCAAATTCTCAAAATCGCCTGTGGCAAGGCCCTTTAAGCGGTAAATGCTTCCTTACCTGTGGCCGTAGCCTAAGTTTCATTAAAACCTAGTGCTATTTGCAAGCTTCAAGCTTTTGGTCGCGCGACCTTGGACAAGTCGTGCCGGGCCTGGAATCCGGATCGCGAAATCCGCTCCGGTGTCTTTTATCTTTCTGCATACCAATCAGGCAACTAACTAACGGCACGACCGATAGCCGCTGCATGATCAAATGCAATGCAGCATGACGCCCAGTAGAGGGCCCGCTCCGGCTGGGTCTGTCTGTGCATAGAGCTGACAGGATGAAGACGGAATCTTTCAGGCAATTCTTCGTCCGAAAACGACGGGTCCAGTGACATCTACAGCCTGACTTCTAACTGGGGCCGCAGCGTTACGCTACAACCGTACACAACACTAAACGTTCCATTGGTTTCTTGTGTATCATATGTGAGCATATGTAGAAGTAACGTAAAGGGTAAAACGGATGCCACATTTACTTGTCGCACAAGTCGGTACTTCATTTGCTATAACAAGAGTTACTGCTGTTGTATCTGCGTAAGTAAGAAAACCATGATTACCTGTTTATAGACAATGAACTATGATGACAGAGAAACGGCCACCTGGTTAGGTTATTTCAAATGGCGTCAAGGAGAACCAGCTAAATCTCCTTATGTAAATCTTTATTTTTTACAGACTTGACACATTTAAGATTCTACTTGAATACAACACAGATTAGATAGACTTTATTGAATTTTCGGCTACCTCTTCGCATACATCCGACTCTTATATCTCAAATCACGGCACAAATATTTCCTTTACGTCTGTTCGCCATCCATGAATTGTCATAATACACCTTGCTTTTCAGGTGTTCATATTTAAAAGAAGTCGAGCGGAGTTCTGTCACATGATCTGGGGGACTATTGGGCGTTACCCCATCTGGAGACCAGCCGCTCTCTGAAGTGATCCTTTAATAACACGATAACGTTATCAGTCACATGGAAGGGTGGATCATACTATTAAAACCACATGCCTTGTTAGCTTTCAGTGACTTGGGGTCGCCTGGAGACCCATCCTGCTAGCGAATAAGGCTTAGAGTTTCGCCCAAAAACAGCGCCAATAATGCCTCCGGCTCACATGACGGACCAGAAAGTTTTCCGAATATGAATCCGTATAGAGGATCATCGAGAAACGAGGAATGGTTTACGACAAACCGTAGGCGATGGACAAACTTTAAAGAAAATATCTGTACCCCATTCCAGAGATACAACCAGATGTCCACGAGAAAGCGCCTAAAAACTGGATGAGAAAATTACCTACCATGACGAAAGCCGAGGTACCTTACCTTATTAATATTGTATTCAATTAAAATTTCAAATGCGTAAAGTTTGTAATTAAGAAATATTTATGTAGATACATTCAGTCGTTTTCTGTTGGCGTTATTGTCAAGTTGTTCCCGACTAAATGGCCACCCTTGTGTATGCCACTGTTGAAAGATTGATTGTGGATTTGCTGTTTCTAACAGGTTAGCCGTAAATGACGCACTTCTTCGTCGAGAAGTTTGTAGATCATAAACGTAGGATCATAGGTGTGTATTGTTAAATCTACATATATACTCGAGTCTTATCTAAAAAGGTCAGCTACACCTATATATGTACGTTCGAAGTCATAAACATACAATTTGTCTTAGATTTTCGATTAATTCAATTGTTAGCTGTTGTGAATGACAACATTCGTCTGAAGAGCTGTGTTCTTGAAGAGAGTCATCGAGTGTACATATAAGCACTCTTATTCTAAGGAACATCGCTGCTACTGTAAACACAAATTGTGTCAAGACAACGCCAAAAACAGACCAATGACGAAGCGTTGTATCTCAACATTAATTTTTAACTTACTATAGATATACGGCGATCCCGATGAAAAGTCGAGCTTCTGTTCACACAGAAATGGATTTCGCGCATGTTGGCAGCAAGAGGTAAGTACTATGGTTAGCTCTAATGGCTCTCCACCGAGACCATATCACTCCTGCCTTTAAAATCTGAATCCTCACTTGTTAAGTACGGACACCAACAATCGATCACTGTTGCCATGCGCCGTAGTGCACCTAATGGTGATGTTATAACTTGAGAAAAAGAAAACCGTCAGGAAGTAGATAAAGCTCTGTCTTCAGCGACGAACCGCTCTGGGCACATTTTTAAAGCCGCTCTTCGTGGTTTCTGCAAGGCAATAAACACCAATCGTACTAAATGTCTGTGGCGTGCCGATTTGCGGTGTCGATGTCGGTTTGTTTTTGTGCTGCACGACAACCAGGCAATAGAAGGAATAACCAGCTGGGTTCCGTGGCCTTGTCTGTCGTCTTTCGATTGCTTTGATCCAGGCCCGTCTCCATATTTGCCTTTCGCTCTTAACAGACGGCCAAATCCGACGGGGCGTTCAGGAGAAAAAGAGCTACGGGCGATAATTTCCTAATTTGTCAGCGAGCGACAAGTGAATTCCATCGCCTACGGCAGTACTGGCCCCTTTTTTTGCTTCTCTCCATCGTCGCTATCTCTCCTGCCCTCATTTCGGGCTACGACGTTGCTACACGTGGCTTCTCCATTTTCGTAGAGCTGTCTTTACCACAGCGACCTTCTCCCCCTATAAACATATTTTCCTGTTCATGCTTTTGGTTTTCTTTGTGTGTTTCTGTCCCCTCCAGCATCGATGAAGAACAAATCCTTTCACCTGCCACGAATATGCTGATGAAGTGGTGCCCGTTGAAAACACTGTTTTTCTGGTACGTTAGGTTTTATAGTGTATATGTGTGTGTTCATCACGTCTTGTGTATGTGTGTGTATCTGGTTTCTCGCAGCTCTTCGCCGATAAGGCAACCTGCTTTGCTACCGGTGTATCCTATTTCCTCCATAAAGACATCCCAAAGCGATCCCAACACGCGGGCCTTGCTTCTCATTCTATTTTTCCGAATGGAGGAATCCAGCCTTCCACGTTTCCATATTCCTAGAAACATTAGACATTGACGTTTTATCTCTACCATAACTTTTTCACTACTATATTTGTTTAAGGGGCCTTCTTTTGTGGGCAACGTACATGCGATGTAAACCTTGTTATTATATACTTATTCAAGTGCATAATCAGTAAGTGCGCTCTGAGCGCTTTACCAGCAAAGCCCTCAATTTGAATAGGGTGAACTTAACATTAAAGGTTTAAATAAAGGTATGCATTTATTTACTGAGAGACATCACGTTTTTATTACATGATTTAGCTTATAACTTCGATTAGTCAGCCTTCGTAAGCAGTCTTATAATGTTTATTCCTCAAACTAGACTTTTCTTGTATTCTCTATATAACTTTCTTAGACAAGGACGCAGAAAAATTGAAAACACATATCAGACATGAACAGCGTCGATTTAGCGTTGCCCCTGCTTACGTAAAACTGTAAAGTCATAATGTAGATCAGTGATATTTGATTTGCCGTTTGTGTGAACCTGTAAGCACTCCCCAGACCTGCAGATTCCCCAACACGTAAACAATGCAACAAGTACAGTTGATCTTTTCCAGCAGCAACCTCTTCAGTAATTTTGTGCCCATTTTTTTTTCTTATTTTTCTATATTCGTTTTTCATCCACCGAGGCAAACGTCTCGGCAGCTGCGATCCAAAGCTGGTGTCTGTTTATTGTCTTCGTGCGTTATTGCTCACGCAACCAAATAACCAACTCAGCCTGCCAAGCAAGCGATCAAAGTAAGCAAAGTCAATGTGTTCACAGAAAATGGGCAAGCGATGTCTTACTGGATTCCATAAACCCAATCCCTCACATGCTTCCGTATATATTATAAAATAGGCGTTTGAGCTGATACGAACGCTGTGGCAACGAGTATAGCATAAAGAGCAACAGGAGTTCTCAGAGGGAAGCGAAATTTAAATGATTTTTCGTTAGCCTTGCTTTTTTCACTAAATACGCGAATACTGCAGGCTAATACCTGTGCGTTTATACTCCTTCCTATATTGGTGCACTCCTGATTGGTGCAATCACGACGGCGTCCCCACGTGTGCTCGAGTTTCTCATACAATACGGTTACCTGCTGCAAGTCCTAGCAGCAGACGTTATCAGCAAACTGCAATGATCTGTTCTACAGATCTCCACAAATATTTTCTGTTGCCCTTGAAGTCCCGATTTCAAGTGGCATTGATTTTCTTTCTTGCCGATTCTGAGATGTTCCGCTGAGCAGAAGCACGGGGAGCCTCGAGGCAGTAACGAAACCCCCCTGTCTTGTTTCTCGTTCCGAGTTTTGCTGCCAGTACTGCGGCTCACGCTGCCAATCATGCCGGCTTCGCTGACATCGCTGGGGGTTCAGAGACGGATAGGAGAGGCAGCGGTAGTAGGAATGCCGCCCCTGCCATAAATAGATTTGAAGCAACATTTTCCCGCCGCGGATTTTTCATAGTCAGTCGATCTTTTCCGCATTCGTTTGGCCTTTGCTTGCCCTAGTTCTCTGGAGGGTTCTGAGAGAGGCGAAAGACAGAGAGAGAGAGAGAGAGAGCATCTTTCTCCAACGAGAACAGCTGGTTACTAGTTGTTGCTAGATGAAACGTACAAAAGTGAAACAGGGTTCTTCGGCGAATACGATACGAAACAGAAAAGTCCGAAGCGGAAAAACTGGATCGGCCGTTAAAATAGAAGTTCAAGGTATTATACGAGTTATCGCTAACAGGAATCAAGGCTAAAATTTGATTGTGTTAATTGTTTGTTGTGGAGACATTTTATAAATAGGCGAGTGGATAGCAAATGATGAAAATAGAATAAATGAGTTGGTATCTATAATGTTGTACGTTATTGCCTGTTTCGCAATATAAACTGTAAGCATAGAGAAATATCGTCTTCTTTTAGGTTTCGAATCAAATACACTGACAAGTAAGTATATTTGAGTTCCCTTTTATCTTATGCATAAATATATCATTCTAAATTGAATTGCTGTATTTGGAGCAACCACTGTAGTATCATGACAGCACAGGCAGCCAATTACAACAAAGTAGAACAACTAAAATTGCTATTAGCGCCAGCTCATCATGAGTTAATTCAAGTATTTCTTCTTGGTTGAGCTAATCATATTTCCCCTCAGTCAATATTGCTATCTGCTTATATAAATCTGAAGGATCCTCTAGTGGATGACCATATGTTTCGAGTCGATTTTGTCCCTTTCAATAATCGTCATTTTCCGCTCTTTCTACTTCTCTCCAACTTGCGTGTGCCATCTAATGGGAAGGTGCCGGGGGGGGGGGGGGGCATATTGGCTTGTCGACGTTCCTTTGCTGCCCGTTACTCTCAGGCTATGTGCTTCTGGGTCGATGCCAATGCCGAGAACTTAAGCATACAAGGGGATCCTATCTCGGACTATTTCTCTAACCCTCACGCCTCCCTTCACCCCTCATCTCCGCTATATGCTCTAATATCTTCTTTTTTTTCGCCAACATCAAAAGGACCAGGTGCACGCATATGTGAAAACAGATAAAACGCATCGCATGAGCGTAAAGAGGTCTCGGTCGGTCAATAGAGGATTGGGTCCAGCATTGGGATAGTGGCTTGCACACCAGGCAGTGAAAAGCGCTGCAATCATGTTGTTCTAGCTTTCTTTTGTACAGACGAGGCCTTTTTCCCGTCGCACTCATTGACAACCGACGCTTCATCTTCGATCTTATGTCATCTCTTTTTTTCGCCACCTCCCTCTTATTTGACCTCGTTGAGCTCCCGACAGAAAAGGAGAGTCGCTGCTAACTGGCTTGATCTATCTTCCTGAGTTAATAGCGAAACAGGCAGTATGACGACTTCTGTTTGCGGTAATCTGTAGACCGCGCTATCTTCCATGATAGCCTGGATGGGTCGCTCATCACCCCTCTATACTTTTGTAATATCGAGGTAGCAAACGAACAGGAAGAACGAACTACGATCATTTGAATCGATTCTCTGAGATAGTGGGGAAAAAGAGACAGCAGAAAGCAATGGCAAGCAATCGGATAGAAGGAAAGTTACACAGCTATATGTTTTAATATTTTATTTATTCCAGTAGAGATATGAAATCTAATGATTTTGATTTTTACAGTTTGATCGCAGCCCAGAGACTATGACGCTTTGCTTTTCTGAACAGAACGAAACGTGTTTGGGCGGTAGCACGACGTATCTTTACGGTCAGTCTTTCGGATGTACATTGATAATTCATCAGAAATTATAATAAAGCACGCATAGTTTAAATGTTTCTAGTGTTAAATATGATACTAATGTTAAACATTGTTTTAGAGGGCTGGCTCTCAGCCTGAAATGAAATCTGTCTACGCCAGGTTCGGAATCTAGACCACATCCCATGTTACGAAGTTTCAATATCAACCTTTCATGGCCACACTATCACAGGACCAAAGGCACAGTTTACTAAGGGTAAATAGAAATCCAATTAAATTCAATCACGGCCGACACCAGACCAGATTTTATCAACAAATTAGCGAGACAGCTTCGACGTTTTAATATTGTTAGGATTATATTAACTAGGCCGTTCTGACAAATTCAAGATACACTAATAATCTTCCTTCTAAAATTGTTCCTTACAAGAAACATATAGACAACCAAAATTGTCGGAGTTTCTTATACCTTTTGAATGTATAGTACAAGCTTACGCTTGATAAAACTGTGGGATCGTTACTTTACCATTGTCGTTGTCCATATTGCCACTTGTTTACGGGCTTTCCTTCTTCTACTCTTTGAAGCCCGTTTTTGTCAGCTTCTTGTCCGAATAGCCCCTCTCTGAATGGCAAAATAATGCTCCCACGTATCGTCCTGATACTGTAATCCGTAATGCCTATCCTTTGTGGGATTCTTGAAACTCTAGCCTAGTCTCAACCGGTCGCTCTCGTAACGCTTTACCTACGAACCTCTGTCAATTTTATGGGCCTAAAAGGTTCGATCAGTAATAAATATACAGGACTAGCAGGTACGGC